CTTTAAGTTTATCTTCAGTTAATGTTTAATATCATGTAAATATCAAAGAAAAATAAGATAGGGTAGAGAAACGAATAGTGAGCACATTCAACAAAAAAAATTTTCAACAATAATTATGCTGTAATGTATTGTATGCTTTAATTTACCCAATTTTTTTAATAATAAACAATCTTTAGGGATCACAAATTAGGATCCAATTTGATTTTTGAAGTCTTCAAAAACCCGCAAATATGGTCATATTACCCAGAACACTTGGTAATACGAACACTTTTAGTTAGCTAAAAAGAGCACCAGAAATAAGTAAAAAAAAAAGGTAAATTGAAAATTTAAAATCATTAGTGTTATTAAGTATCATTAAACTGATTTTAATACACAAATATTATCATTAAATAATCAATTGTTAAACGTTGAAAGAATATTCAATTGTTTTACGTAAAAAAAAAAAAAAAAAGAAAAAAAAACATTAGTTTAATACTTTTTATTTATATATACCCTTAAGTTTATCTTCAGTTTATGTTTAATTCAACTTTTCAATTATATAAACAAATGCTTTTAAATAAAATAAACTTTTTTAATAATAAATGACAGAAATATACTGACTATTGTTATAATATCAACAATTTCTTATATGTTTCATGTTTATTTAAATATCAGTTTAAACAGATGCTTTCTTTGGACTGTAAACTAAGTAAAATCTGTAAACTAACAAACATTGGTAATTTGAGCTCATATTTCGCGGAATAGGTATGCTTTAAACAAGTCTTAGGCAAATGTTCTTATCTATTCTTTCCAACCAAAAATAAATCAGATTTTTAGATTTTTTCTTTACTAATAATTTTTCAAAATATAACACTCAAAGTAGGATCACAAAAACCAATGTAAGTGATCATTTTGCAATCTTTTTACTTCTAATTCAATATGCAAAGAAAATTTGACAGGATACTAAATAAAATTAATATATATATATATACATATATATATATATATATATATATATATATATATATATATATATATATATATATATATATATATATATATATATATATATATATATATATTAAGGGAAATAAAAATATATATAATAATAAAATATATTATAATAGTGCTGTACATTTAAAGAGTGATGTGTCCAAACTACGTAGAGTTTGTAACTTTAACAGCTGTTACACACTAATATACAAACATAATAAAAGTTAGTATTTAAATTGTTCATCCAATTTTTTTTTGAACTGGTTGATACTGACTGCGTCTTGTTTCTTGTTCAAGATTGTTCCAGTCGTTTAATACTCTATTTGTGAAAAAATTATGCCGTTTTATATTTCCTGTATATTGCCTTCTCAGTTTACTATTGTGACCTCTAGTTTTATATCCGTTATCTAGTAAATTTAGATTTAAATAGTACTAATTTTTTTATATTCATGATCATATTTACGAAACAAAATATCCTAAGCAGAACTACTATATTCCAAAAATCCAAGTTCTCAATATCTAGAAGAGGACCACAATTGTGGAACTCATTTCTCACAAATTTGTTTATCTTGTATTTAAACGATATATCTTTTTTTTTTTTTTTTTTTTTTTGGCAGCAACAACGGCAGGACTTCTAGAAGATCATGAGGATCTTATCATGAAGCTCTTAAAAAATATAATACATTTACACTTTTTCAATATAATTTTAATTTAAAATAAACTGTTTGTAATTATTAGTCTAAAACAAAACAATATACAAAAATAGTTAAAAATAGATAAGAATATTTTTTAATAAAAGGATAATCTTTTTAAGTTTCTGTTTAAATGAAGCATAAGCCATTTTAATAGAAAAATCAAAATTTGGTAAAACTTTTTTGTTGCAGAGATAAGTTCCTCGATAAAAAACAAAAAACTGGTATATTTTTTGATGGCAAATATTTAATATCAGTTATGTACAAGATAAACATAAGCTATAAAATATCTAATTACGTTAATAAAGTTATATTTTTCAATCAATATATTGATTGTAAAATATAACTGAAATTAACGGGGCAAGATGATAAGACTATCGTCTTCTGCTTGTTCCAGTCAATTTGTTACATTAACAATTTTGTAAAAAATATTGATAAAAAAAAAAAAAATCAAAAAAAAAAAAAAATAAAGGTAAATAAACCTTAAACAAAGTGTATACTCTCTTTTACTTTTTTAACGTATACAAATAATTATGACAAGGCGCATGGTAAACAAAATACTCATAACTAACTATCAAATTTCTTAACTTTGTTATATTCTCAAGAGCAATTTTAATTTGTATAAAGAAAGTGTTTTTATAGTTATTAAATGTTTTTTTGCAAGAAGATTTTACTAAAATTATTTACGCGTTTATCAGATAAGCTGTTTTTAAAATATTAATTGTTTGTGGCATATATCTATAAATTTATATAACCAAAATTGAAATGTAACCTTTGGTTTTATTTAAGCTACGAAATTTTATCTAATCAATGAAATACTTTTTAAAATGAATATATTTTATAATAAGTTTTTACCCTTTGGGTATTTTATTAGTAAATAGTAAATAACAATAAATAAATTATCCAAATACATTTACTTTTATATTTATTAATTAAGTAGACTCCCCCTTTTAAATGTTTTTGGCGACTATCGGGTTCAGAGAATTTATGAGTATTTTTTGAAAAGGATATTATAAAAACATTTAAAAATTTATGTTTTTCCTAAAAAATAATATTACCGGTTGGCACGGTTGCTAATTTAAAACAGCGGAAATTAAAAACTCATCAATTAATGGAAAAAAAATTATCGGATTGGAGAACATTTTCTCTACGAAACTTTCTAAACTTTTTAGTAATACTAAATGCATGCAATAAACTAAAAAAAATCCAAATATTGTTTCCGGATTTTTTATTAATCCCTTTACTTATTACTTTTTTTTTGTATTTTTAATATAAAATTTAATTAGATAAGCTTATTTAGAAAAATACCAAAAATCAAAACAATGCCAGAGATTAAATTTATTGCAAAAAAAAAATTTTTTTGAAAAAAAGAAATAGAAAGATTATATTTCTTAAAGCTTTTCAATTCTTGGTGCTTTGTTGATAAATAATTACAAAACATGTAGATTATACTTTATTTAAGTAAACAATATTGAAAGTCTGTTGTTTTGTAAATGCTCTCACATTTTTTACTATACCGACTCATCGGAAATACATCCAATACTTTTCCTGTTTCCATAAAAACTGTGTCCATAGAAATGCAGCTAAATGTACAAATAGTGTTAAAATTTTTTGTCTTTTTAGGTGCCATTAAGGTATTTAAAGCGTATTTTTTTTGCGGATATTTAAATAACTCTTGAGAAGCGCCACTCATAATTTAAGCGGCAAAAAAACAAACACTTCTTTCTAAATTATAAACAATCTTGTTTAGTTATTTGATGTAAATGGTGGTGGTGTTGTAAATGGTGACAGGTTCATAGTTGTATTAAATCAATTAATATCAGCAAAGACTGTTCTAGAGATGACTTTTTTACTTATTTTGTTGTAAAAACGCGAATTACTTAAGCGTAAAATGCTTCACATAACTCGCGCGCCAAAAGTTTCTGATAATAAATAAAAGTTTAGTCCTTCGAGGATAATAATAAAGTGATTATAACGAAATGATTTGATTATTGTAAAAACTTTCCTAGATACACCATTTGAAGGAAGCATACGGAAAGCTCATACCAAGCTTTATATCAATCTTTAGACATGTCAAAAGGAAATAGCTTTAGCCTCGCCTTCGTGGAGTCAAACTGTTTTCTAGAGTTTTTTTTCAGCAAGCTGAAAACAAGATTAAATCAAGCACTTATGAAATAGTTTAGAAGAATTGAAGAAATTTTTAAAGAAAACCTTTGTAAGACTATAATAAAAATGTTCTCTGGACCACAAGTTTTAGAAGAGTTTAATCGAGATTTGATAGCAACAAAAACTGAAGTGCTTCGAATGTCTAACAATGAGTTAACCTGTTTAACTATAATTGCAAGAAGTGTATGGCCATACAAGAGTCTAATAAGAAAGAACCTCTTTGTAAATAGCTCAGCCTTAAAACTACCTTTCTAAATGACGATGTTAAAGATTTTCAAAAAGTTTCTAGAACTTAACTTCTGAGATAAGATACGAGATTTAACAATTTTGGAATAATGAAGCTTAGCATTAGACAGTACCTTTTTACGTTGGTTTCTTGCAATAATAAATAGATGCTTGTTCTCAAAAGTTTTTTTTTGAAAAATATGAAAAAAAAATTATAACGATTAACTATAGCACAAGAAGATAAAAATCAATAGTAGAATAAGGTTTTTCTTGGAACCGGCAAGAAAGAATTAAATCTTTCATACTTGTTTGGATACAGAAAGTTTTGTAAAAGGCGCAATTATTAGCGGAGAGAGAAAAGACATCGACCCATAGATTGTCACAAAGAAAATCAAAAAAAAATTTCATTCACTTTTTAAGTAGTAGTAAGTAGTGCAACAATAGGGTGAATCTGAAGAAGTACAAGATGAAGAAATTGTAGAGATCATTGCAGGTCAGAAAAGGAGATCAAGGAGATATTGAACACAAATAAGGGTCAGAGACAAGACACGAATCATTAAGTCACGAATATTAATAAAAGATACATTAAAAAATAAGGTGGCAGGGATATTTTTCTATCTTTTAACTTTTGGGTTACTTTGGCCATGATTTAAGTTTGAAGTGAATTTAACTCATATATAGATACAGCACGGTCTCTCAAGCAACGGCCTATGCAGTTGTCTCAGTCCTGTTAAACAAATCAAAATTGTAACTTAGGGCTTCTTACGTGACCTTGAAAATATAATTACTCTGATATTTTATAGCTGTTGATGGAATCAGCTTCTGTGAGAGCTTCCACATAGTTTGGAAAACCTTACTACCAGCCGGCCTCAGAACAAATAAACTAAGTTTTAGAGCTATACCCTTATTATGAGATAACTGAAAGAGTTGCATAGCCACTATCAAAGTGGTGCAATCTAAAATCTATGAGTTGAGTCAAACAGATCCAACTTCATTCTAGGAAGAAAACAATGTAACACTATATTCACATCTACGCTAGCCTTGTAGGTATAGAAGGGGTATAAAAGAGATTTTTGACAAGACAATAACTAGATGCTATTAACATTTGCCCAAGATAAATATTTTTATAGAGGCGTCACCTCTAGCCTTTACTTAACCACGAGCCACAAGGCAGGTGAATTTTAGCTGGATGCAGTTAACATCTGCTCAAGAAAAGTATTTTTATTGAGACAAAATCTCAACTTTACTCAACTAAATCGCTAAGGCGGGGATTTTTAAGTTGCAGTTAATTTAAAATCCAAGCAACTTTACCAGGCACTAGGGCACGCAACAGGTAGTACTGGTTTACACAATAACAGTAGCAAGGTTATCGTAATGATTCTTAACCAGACCTGGTCTAATTTGTTAAGATTTTTAACAAATAGAAAACAATAGAGTTTATTTTCTGAAATTTTAGCGGTTCCAAATAAACATCAAACGCTATGGTAAAACCATTAAATAGTTCGCTGATTTGTATGTTCATTTACTTAACAATGTTTTAATTTCATTTAAATTCATGTAAATTGCTAAGAGTCAAATCTTTAAACATAGTCAAGCAGGGGTGGATTCAGGAGTTTGTCTTGAATCCTTATATATTGATGGGTTTCAAGTTCTGTTAAGTCATAATTTTTGAACGCCAAGAAATTATACTTTAAAACTTAAAATATAGGACAACCACTTGACATAATTTAGAGGCAACAACTTTGGTAACTCTATTGAATATTTAAACAAATAGCCAATTACGTGGTCAACTGCAATCGAATTAAAACATCCTTTTCGGTCAA